TAATTTATAGAATATGTGCTGTGTATTTGTGGCAAGTGCTTGAATATTCATACATGAGTATAACACTGTTGCTTAGGTCTACATACAGTAAAAATCTCACACAAATAAGAACCAAGATTTTTTGGTTATAGATGATATATTATTATATATTATAGGTAGATACATATTCAAATATGTGTACACCAATATATCATTGTCAATTGGGCCAAGAAAATACATTTATTTCTTTAATAATGTATTGATGAATTAGAGTTTAAATTGCTTGTAAATCAATGTCAAGTGAAACTTACCACTTTGAAGGGAATAAAAATTATACTCAGTAATTTAGAATAAATGAAACAAAAAAATTTTGTTAAAGTCATATAGATGATAATGACAAAATTTTTGCACTGGATGTTCATTTTTATTTGCACATTTGATAAAAATTGAACTAAGTGCAAATTACCATATTATTTTCATTCCCATACATTTATATATGTGTATATGTAAATTAATACTGTACTTTATTAATCACGGCATGATTTCATACAGATTATATGAATTTTGGTTAATTTAGGTAGCATTTTTAACCATTCATGTGAATATGTATATATGATATATAAAATTTACCTTTTTTGTGGTTCTTATGGACATGTGAAAATGTAGTTTATACACTGTCCTGTCAAAGGACGGTTTAGTCAGTGTTATATGAAATACTTTATTTTATACAAATGAGTTTTATGTCTAACCAGTTTTAATTTATATACATATTTTGATAATTATATTTTTAAAAATGATTTAATTTTAATTGAAGCAGTCTTCCTTCTCCAGTAACTTATTTAGAAGTGCTAATAGTGTATAGAAAATTATCATGATAAATTTGTTATTATTATTGGTTTTTACGATACAGGATGAATATTTAAAGTGCATCTTGACCAACGTACCTGTGATATACTACTACCAACTGTGTAGCAGGAATAGATGAAACCCATGTGAAATGTACATTTAAAAAAATATTTAAAGTATTTAAAAAATTTACATTATGTGAATTTCTCAAGGTTTACTTCAGCAATAATAATATCATTACTAACAAAATTGGAAATTGAATCATTACTATATCTAGGCACTGTGCTAGAACCTGTATTTTTGTTACTTTAACCTTCATAGCATTTGTATGAGCTATTATCATTTCCACTATTATATAGATTAGGATACTGAGGTCAAGGGAGGTTAAGTTTTTACAAATAAGAGGCTGAGAAACAATTAGACTTATGAGTAATGTTTAGGCATTGACAATTAAGCAATTTAATTCATCTGTCTCTCAGAGAAAAATCATGTGATGTCATTGTTCTTGGAATACATTTTAAAATGATTTAGAATACATTGGAAGGATTAATCCAAAACATTTGGGCGGAGCTGAATTTGTGATTTGATGGATTTTCTTTGGGAATATACCAGCAGATATTAGCAGATGCTCACACAAAATCATATTACATAGACTTGGATAACACTAAGTAAGGTATTTATTTATTTTTTATTGTTATTTTTTATTTCAGCATAGTATGGGGGTACAAATGTTTAGGTTACATGTGTTGCCTTTCCCCCTTTCCCCCCCAGAGTCAGAGCTTCAAGTATGTCCATCCCCCAGTTGGTGCGCATCACACTCATTATGTATGTATATACCCATCCCCTCCCCCCTTTCCACCTGCCCGACACCCCATAAATGTTATTCCTATATGTCCACTTAGGTGTTGATCAGTTAATACCAATTTGCTGGTGGGTACATGTGGTGCTTATTTTTCCATTCTTGGGATACTTCACTTAGTAGAATGGGTTCCAGCTCTATCCAAAATAAATGTAAGAGCTGCTATATCATCATTGTTTCTTATAGCTGAATAGAACTCCATGGTATACATATACCACATTTTATCAATCTACTTATGTATTAATGGGCACTTGGGTTGTTTCCACATGTTTTCAATTGTGAATTGTGCTGCTATAAACATTCGAGTGCAGGTGTTTTTTTTATAGAGTGTCTTTTGTTCTTTTGGGTAGATGCTCAATAATGGGATTGCTGGATCAAATGGTAGATCTACTTGGATCACTTTAAGGTATCTCCATATTGCTTTCCACAGAGGTTGCACTAGTTTTCAGTCCCACCAGCAGTGTAGGAGTGTTCCTATCTCTCCGCACCCACGTCAACATTTATTGTTTTGGGACTTTTTGATAAAGGCCATTCTCACTGGAGATAAGTGATATCTCATTGTGGTTTTGATTTGTATTTCCCTGATGATTAGAGATGTTGAGCATTTTTTCATATGTTTGTTGACCATTATTCTGTCTTCTTTTGGAAAATTTCTTTTCATGTCCTTTGCCCACTTTTTGATAGGGCTGTTTGATTTTTTTCTTGCTGATTTTTCTGAGTTCTAAATAGATTCTAGTTATCAGCCTTTTATCAGATGTGTAGCTTGTGAAAATTTTCTCCCGTTCTGTAGGTTGTCTGTTTGCTCTTGTAACAATTTCTTTGGCTGTGCAGAAGCTTTTTATTTGATAAGGTTTCATTTATTTATTTTTGTTGTTGCTGTGATTGCCTTTGGGGTCTTTTTCATAAATTCTTTGCCTAGGCCAATGTCTAGAAGAGTATTTCCAACGTTTTCCTCTAGAATTCTAATATTTTCACCCAGCGTGAGTTGATTTTTGTGAGAGGTGAAAGGTGTGGATCTTGTTTCAGTCTTCTACATGTGGCTATCCAGTTTTCCCAGCACCATTTATTGAATAAGGATTATTTTCCCCAATGTATGTTTTTGTCTGCTTTGTCAAAGATTAGATGGCTATATGAGGATGGTTTTGTATCTGGGTTCTCTGTTCTGTTCCACTGGTCAATGTCCCTGTTCTTGTGTCAGCCCTAAGCTATTTTAATTACTGTAGCCTTTAGTATAGTTGGAAGTCTGGTAAATTGATACCTGCCATTTTGTTTTTATTGTCTAGGATTGCTTTTGCTATATGGGGTCTTCTCTGGTTCCATATGAAGTGTAAAATTATTTTTTCTATATCTGTGAAAAATGATGATGGTATTTTAATAAGGATTGCATTAACTCTGTAGATCACTTTGGGTAGTATAGACATTTTAACAATGTTGATTCTGCTAACCCACGAGCATGGTATGGTCTTCCACCTGTTTATGTCCTCTGCTATTTCCTTCCTCTAAGTAAGCTATTTAGTTATTTATATTTCTGTTCCCTCCTTAATGTTCTTGTTTACTTGCATTGTCACTACTCATTATTATCTTTTTTTTCCAAATTGTTTTCAAGCAACATCCAGTTTGATGTGAAATTACTATGATATTATGTAGCTTTTAGTGTATAAGGTTTATTGTATGTGAAATACAGAAAAGACAAAAGAAAAAGGTGAAAACATAGAAAAGAAAGGAAAATAACTAGAAAATAATATAAAATAAAAGAACTGATACAATTGGAATCGGAGAGGAAATTGATCAGTATAAACTTAGGGTTTTAGGAAAACATCCTTTTTTACATTTGTTTGATCAAAATTGTTTGTCAGAAAAACACCCAACATTTCATAGCTCCGCCTGCTTAGCACCCATGAAAAATGCAGGTCCTTGGCTCTTTTAATGTTAAATGTGAGAATGGGCAGAGAATGTATCCAGATAGCCTGCGGAATAAAAGCAGTAGGGATTAACAAGGGGGGACAGTTGGAATGAGAAGGTGCCATTCTGAGATGTGAGCCAGGCAGGTGAAGGTAGCTGGCTAGTGTAGAAGGAAGACAAGATGAAGCACAACAATGAGAACTCAATGAATTTGAGAGTACAGTGAGTTCAGAGTTAGTAAAACTGGGGACAGGAAATATTCAATTGAAAAGTTATGCTATAGTAAGTTTTTTATGCAGATACAATTTAATAGCAAGGGTTGCAAGAAAAATTTGCTACTTTTGTAATATAATGAATATTTACCATTCCAGTTATTAATGTTTTCTAGATGAATAAGTGACTAACACTCTACTACTCCAGCACAGATATCAGACAGCCACATTTCCTTTCTATATAATGTTTTATAGTTATGACACCAGGAAAATATTTTTATTTTTTAAATTTTTTTAAATTTTTGGAGACAGAGTCTCAATTCTGTTGCCTGGGCTAGAGTGCCATGGTGTCAGTCTAGCTCAAAGCAACCTCAAACTCCTGGGCTCAAGCGATCCTCCTGCCTCAGCCTCCCGAGTAGCTGAGACTACAGGCACTCGCCACAGTACCCGGCTAATTTTTTCTATTTTTAGTTGTTTGGCTAATTTCTTTCTACTTATAGTAGAGATGGGGTCTTGCTCTTGCTCGGGCTGGTCTCAAACTCCTGAGCTCAAGCAATCCTCCCGCCTCAGCCTCCCTAAGTGCTAGGATTACAGGTGTGAGCCACTGCGCCAAGCCATGAAAATATGTTTAAAGGCCTTGAAAGATGACGTGTAGAATCAAAAGATACACTAATAAGGACTCTAAACCCTAGCCACTGTAACTAGCCTTAATTATTGTGGAGCAGCAGGAAATAACCAAAAACATGCACCACATTCCAGCAGAATATAGTTAAATGTAAGCAGGTGTGAGTTTATTGGTATATGATAATTAGAGGGGATATTTTACCATATGTATGTAGCCATGGAGAGCAGTATAAATATCCTTTTCCTGTTACTGCTATAAAAAGGATCTGTGATACCCAATGTAAACGTTTGGTAGCCAGGAGAAGTGCTCTGAGCTATAGACCAATAAAGTGAATTCTTTCATCTAACCTGGACTCATGAGTGCTGTTGATTCTGTTATATCGCCTTGTATATTACCTTTTCCTCCTTCCTTCCTACGCTGTAGTTCACAAAGTCCCTCTCATAAATATCGCTGGACTAGGATACAACATAGTTCTTCCTGGTCTAGACATCACTCTTGGAAACATTACACAAACAATGGATAAGATCTGTGACCAAGAAGATTCTATAGGACTCAACCTATGAAAGACTACCTTGAAGGTTCTGATTTATGACCTCAAGGAAGAGAGTGATCATTTACTTTTCCACTAGCCTCTGATCAGCCACCTTTAAGCCGTCAAGATGCCTATGTCTTCTCTTCCAGCAGCTATTTTGTCTCACATGATAGCTATTAACAATGTGCCTCCTCCTCCGATCCGCAATATACCAAGTGAGTGGGGAATGCTTTGAGGGACTCATTCACCTGTCACTGTTTTCCATGGTACTTACCCCATTTATAAAAAGTGGGGCACTTCAGGGTTGGTAGGGACATTGGGAATCTCATGGACAGCATTTGGAAGGGAAAGAACACAGAAGTGTCAATCTTGCTTTGTCCATTTGAACTCATTTCAATTCTGTAGGTCTCAAATATTTTTCCTTTGTAAAATGGGGATCTTTATTCCCTCTTAGAGCTTCGAATACATTGAAATATTTTTAGAGGAATGCTAGCACTCTGGGCGGCGAGGCAGGAGGATCGCTCAAGGTCAGGAGTTCGAGACCAGCCTGAGCAAGAGACCCTGTCTCTACTAAAAATAGAAACAAATTAATTGGCCAACTAAAAATATATAGAAAAAATTAGCCGGGCATGGTGGTGCATGCCTGTAATCCCAGCTACTCGGGAGGCTATGGCAGAAGATTGCTTGAGCCCAGGAGTTTGAGGGTGCTGTGAGCTAGGCTGACACCACAGCACTCTAGCCCAGACAACAGAGTGAGACTCTGTCTCAAAAAACCAAAACAAAAAATTAATACTCATGGTCTCCAGGGAAAAATGTAGCACAAGCAACAGTTAATACCCTTTGAAAGGGTATACTTATATCTTGAATAGTGTCAGACAAAGTCCTTATGTTAAACCAAGTTAATTTCTGTATATATTACTTTGTATGTTTTTTTTTATTATTGTGAAAAAGTCTTATATATGATCAAAGTTTTATATTTCTATTCGAGTGGAAATAAGTATTAAATGTAATTTTGCCAAAAACTACAGATTATACAGTTTGGCTTTTATTTGTGAAAAAGAAACACTCACTGTAAGATGATTTTTTTTTTTTTTTAGCAGCCTAGGAAACTCAGTAGCTGGAAGTTAAAAGATCAAATTAATTTCGAATCAATGAAATGAGATATGTGCTACCCTCTGTAGTGCCTCCCAAGGACACTTAACTTCTGTGAAGTGATTAAAAGATGAAAAATCAGCAGCAATTTAGATCTCAGAACTGAATAGAGCATAATGGAAAGCAGTGGCGCTCCCAGATTTCTCTTTAGAGGTTCCTACTTGACGTTCTATGTCTGTGACTTCTCTTGGGAGACGTGTCCTGCTTGCTTAATCACTGTGTCTTTGTGCCAACTCTAGCAAGTTAACAATGTCTCTTAGCAAACTCTGATTGTCACTGCTGAAACAATGACCTCATGAAAGCCTGAGTGTGGTGGGTGCTCTCAATCTACAAAATGACTGAAACTGAATTACGAATGTGTTTTAAATGGGAATTATTCAGAATACAATGGGCATTAATAGGAATGTCCAGTTAAGTACCTGAAAAGAAAATCCAGCCATTATATGCATCCTTGTTTACTTTGGATTTGACTAGTTAAGTTAGATTTAGTGACTCATATCCACCTTTTCTATAAGTATTTTTATGTGCGTAATATTTATTGTGTGCTTTCTATGGGCAGTGTGTAAGCATTTTGCACATTATATTGTTATTTATTTTTCACAAGAATCTTATGATGTCTATGTTGGGCACAATTATGGCCCCCAATGATGTCCATGTCCTAACCCCCAGACCCTGTGAATATATTATGCTACATGGCGAGAGAGAATTGAGGCTACAGGTGGAATTAAGGCAGCTAATCAGCTGATCTGGAGATTGGGAGAATATCCTGGATTATCCAGGTGCCCACCATAATCATAGGGGTACTTATAAGTGAAAGAAGAAGGCAGGAGGGTCAGTGAGAATGAGAAGATGTGAGAAAGACTCAACTGGCCATTGCTGGCTTTGCAGATGGAAGGGGGACACAAGCCAAGGTATTTGGACAGCCTCTAGGAGCTAGAAAAGGCACAGAAATGGATTCTCCCCTAGAGCTTCTAGAAGGAATACAGTCCTGCTGATAATTTGATTTTAGCTCAGTGAAACGAGTTTCAGACTTCTGATTTCGAGAACTTTAAAATAATACATTTTATTTTCCCTGAGACATAGTCTCATTCTGTTGCCCGGGCTAGAGTGCCATAAGCATCAGCCTAGCTCACAGCAACCTCAAACTTCTGGGCTCAGGCTATCCTCCTGCCTCAGCCTCCCAAATAGCTGGGACTACAGGCATGCGCCACCATGTCTGGCTAATTTTTTCTATATATTTTAAGTTTTCCAGCTAATTTCTTTCTATTTTTTGAGTAGAGACAGGGTCTTGCTCTTGCTCAGGCTGGTCTCGAACTCCTGAGCTCAAATGATCTACCTCCCTCGGCCTCCCAGAGCGCTAGGATTACTCGCGTGAGCCACTGTGCCCAGCCCATTTTTTGTTGCTCTAAACCACTAAGGTTGTGGTAACTTTTTACAGCAGTAATAGAAACCTAATACAAGCCCCACTTTACACTTAAGGATAATGAGGCTTAGGTTTCATACTAAGGTTCATACAGTTGTTAAGCGGTAGAGGGCTCCTAATGGTATCATCCCTGTAAATGAACTCTATTAACAACAACAAAAACAGTAGCACTCCTGTTCCCTCCTTACCTACTATTTTGAAATACCTTGCCCATTTGGCCACTTAGATGCTCTTGATTTAAAGGAGGCAACATGCCACACATCTTTAAACACTCCTCCACTGCTGTCTTGTTGACGCTGAAACTCAGACTCAGACACTTCAAGTAGTTAAGCTTCTTGAGCTTATTTAGTGCTTAGGGGTTTTTTTCTTTGAAACTTTCAAGTCTCTTTTTATAGTCTTTTTGACTTGTGCCTCGGGATTCTTTATAGCTTGTTAACCCTAGGGAAGAGATGAGTGTTCTCAAAAGCAAAGAGTTGTACCACTTTTTATTTTGGATGAGAATTATTTTTGAAAAAGCCTTACAGTTAGCAAAGTGTACAGTTTTAGCACCTGAGTGAAATAGCATCTGGTCTAAGTACACACAAGTTGATTGTTGTAAGTTGATTTCCTAAAGAGACAGAAAGAATAAATGCCTTTAAAAAATTGTTAATGAAAGGCAGGAAGCTGTCCTTTACCATTGGGTTATGATTAGGACTGTGACCAGTTAGCTACTTTTGCTTGGGTTAATATGCTGCATCTCCATTTCTTTTCTATTTCCTTTACTTCTTAGGCTTATTCTTCTGAGAAAGAATGAGTTTAAAAACATGCTTTATATTTTGACTACTGGTAGATTTGGGAGAAAGAATTTCAGTGCTTGTCTAGTGCCAAAAGTGTTTCAAGTTCACAAGACATTTGCAGGTACATTTTACTTGTTCCAACATACATAGACATAGGAGGAAAAAAAGCATTCAAGAAAAGATCAGGGACACTTCAAGGAATTTAGAAACAAGATGGTACTTTTAAGTGAATGATTTTCTTTGTTCTTTTTCATTTTATGGTGTACGTTTACTGAAAACTTGAAAAGACTGTGTCATAATTCCTAACACTTCAAGGGCGTTTTCTGCATTTTGAGCATTTTTTAGCTCTTTCATAGCCAGAGATTAAAGGAGTTTCAAAATATGTATTTATTTGGAAAAGTGAATATTGTATTGTTTTAATGTTTTAAACCATTTAAATGCTAGGAGGAGTGCAGGCAAGAAAAAGGGAGGCTTGTCAGTGGAGAAGAAAAACATGGAAGCAGACAGTGTAATGTACACAGAAATAAGGTTTATAAAAAGAGAGAAGTAAAAGAAATGAGAATGTAAATTTCAAGAAGGAATAAAAGGTGGAAAAATGGTTGAATGTTTGTGTGTGTTTCTGTTTGTATAACCAATAATAGTCCCTATGGAAAATGCCATCATATAATTTAGGAAAAGAAGTACTGGAAATTAATTTTCTCAAATTTATTTTTCAGTGTTTAAGTCACTCTTTGGGTCCCAAGGAGAAAAGATGAATGTTTTATTTTTTTAAAAAGTCCAAACATTTCTTCTTTTTAAAATTACTATTCAAATAGCTATCTCAATGTACTTGTATTTTTTGTCAGACCATCTTGAGTGACCTTTATAAATTATGGGAATTTAAACTTGAGTTCAATAATGCCTGGGGGTTCAGGCAGGAAACAGGAAATGATGAGGTAAATTGCAATAGCTGCAAATCAGATCTCTCCACTAGATGTCAGGCTCGGCCTCCTCCCAGTCTCTGGCTACTGCTCTACCCTCAGTCTTTCAGAAATTAGTCCTGTCTTATCAGTACTTATTAGTACTTTCATCAATTCTTCAGCCATCTAGGTTGGTCCTACATCACCTTTCACTAAACCAATCTCTGACTTTTCTTCCAACATATATTAGGAACCATATTACTTGTCTGATAAGATGATTTGAAAAAAAATTAATCATATTAAGTCTCTACTAGAAAGCTATCAGGGTCCTACTTGCTTCCAAAACTTAGATTACAATCTATTTTCCACAATCTGGCATTTAAATCTTTCATGATTAGACTAAAATCTGTCTCTTGTGTTCTAGATTTTACACTCCCATTGATATCTCTCTGCTACAGCTAAAATGTTTTGACATTCCTTAAACCCATCTGCCAATACTGATCAAGGGTACAGGGGAACTTCTTCAGGTTACTTAAACATTCAGATGGCCACACTTGACACACATGTAGGACATAAATACGTCTTCCCAGAAGAGCAGCATCAGGGGTTCCCCTTCCCTGGAAGAAGTCCTCAGCTGCCTAGGCAACAGCCCACACAGCCCTCTTTGGCCACCCAGTTGGCAGCTCAGGTTCAAGGTAAAGTGATACAAGTGAATCTACCATTTGATCCAGCAATCCCATTGCTGGGCATCTACCCAAATGATCCAGTGACACTCTACAAAAAAGACACCTGCACTCGAATGTTTATAGCAGCACAATTCATAATTGCAAGGCTGTGGAAACAGCCCAAGTGCCCATCAATCCAAGAATGGATTAATAAAATGTGGTATATGTATACCATGGAGTACTATTCAGCTCTAAGAAACAATGGTGATATAGCACATCTTATATTTTCCTGGTTAGAGC